GGCCAGTTATCATCAAAAATAGTATTATAGGCTGTTCGGCTGCTAGAGAGGTTCGAGAGTTATCCTTAAGGCAGTATAAGACGAGTGGGTCCCGTAACTGATCGGTGAATGTTTGCCAATGAGTGCCAATATGTCCGATCTAAACCGACAAGACAACGGGCCCGTGGTTCAACGACTAGAGTTTTGGATTTCTAAACAACAGATCGCGGGTTCGAGTCTCGGATGGTGCACCACCTGGGACTGGGTAGAGTTGACCGCTTACGGTTACTAAGCCATAAATGGCCATTTCAGTCTCCCTTGCCTTAGTCGGCGACGCTTTTCTGTTTATAATACTAGCCGCTGTGCGGCTGCTGGCGGGACTCGAGGGACGGATGAGTCCCGTAAAGCGCGTACACCCATCAACATAGTTGGGTAGCTTGTAGCTGGGCTAACAGGAAGTTTTTTAGCGGTGGTGGTAGCGGCGGCGGCGATTTAGCCCTTTAGAAATAAAGACAATGCTGCACATCTTAATTTATAGGTTATAGGGTATCCCACCTCCGTAGAAAAGATGCAGACGCAGAGCCAAAGGACCTTATCATATACTTTCGGACGGGGCCAACATTTTATTCGGGTCCTGGTGATGGTATACTTCAAAAGTAGAGGGCAAACTCAAAAGTGACTTTGAAAAAATCCCACCAAAACCTGACTAGCTATTTGGCTAACAGAACGGTTACACTCCATTTGTGCAGCATGTGGTAGTAACAGATGTTTATCCATATATTTTTGAACAAAAACTAGGCATCGAGTGTAAAAGGCGTACCTTGGCGTCAAGACCGAAGGCTTGCGAAAAACGTTTGGCCTGTTCAAAATTGTTTTCCTTTATAAAGAACTTCAGGCTGCAAATAGGCAAAGATGTATACCAAAAAGCATAATTACTACTCTTATTTTGGTAAGGAAATCATACACTAGACTCACTACTCCACATAAGAAAGATGAAGTCGACAAGAAAAACACATAGAACATGCAGTGCAGAGCCCTACTTAGTTCAAGTCTAAACATCTATCTAATTTGACTCATTGTGTATCCATTCGGAAGTTAGAAATGATTCAAAATGACGGAAGGAATAGGTTTAGCATTACCGCTCCAGCGGATCAATCTTGACAAATGATGAAACGGCCTGCAATCCGTCATGGTCGGATGAAGGGGGAGCAACCTCCACCAAAAGAGGTGAGAAATTAGGTCCGCCGTTCGGTGAAATGAGATGAGATCTTTCCGATACCGTTGTGGAGAAAACTATCTTACGGCTGAAAGACGAGAGCGAAAGAACAATAAGAGTAGCATTAGAATACGACTTTATAAAAAAACGAAACGTGTGAAGTTAATAAAAGTCAACGATGGAGGGTTACAATTCGCTAAAGCTCCAGTGAACATGTCTGAATTTGCACCATAGATACGAAGAACCTTGACCACATGTGGGGGAGCATTCGTATAATTGAGGGCAGGGTTACAAAACGAATCAGGTGGCATTTAGTAAATAAGAATTATAAATGCATAATAATTCATATAATCCTCATCCGAGCAATCAAATTTCCAATACACAGGTCACGGTTAGTGACTTTCGGATTAAGGGGGAGGTGTGAAAAATTAAAGTTCGTCTATCTTCCCAGCTCAACGAGTATAAAAAAGTTATGGAACTTCAACTGACCTTGGGAATAGGTGCAACTCAAAGCATATCTCATTCTCCCTTCTGCGGAGCAAACACATACCAAAAGTCGGAAAGGGAGAATTCGGGACTTCAGGCAGCATAAAGGCTTCTCTCCATATAGCAAAATCGAGTATGTCATTACTTGAAAATAAAGGTCCACAGCAAATGCCCGCGACGATATTATACAACATAAGTTGGCACTACGGTAGGTAAACGATAAAAATAAGATAAACCTGACGATTCAGGGCCAAGACATAACCCCGATTTAGGAACTCTGACTTAGAGAAGCAAAGCTCATTAGCGGGGAACGCGGCAGTCAACCGCGGTTCTATATAGTTTTGATAATGGTGGGCGATCTGGGGAGAAATCTAAATATGACCTTTCTCAAAGGAAACTTACATCTTTCGAGCATTCTAATGAGCCTAGTATGCGTTCCTGAAGAGACATGATAAAAATTAAAGAAATTACATCGTCGAAGTCCAATGAAAATTGACTTAGAACCGTGAGAGAAAAGAAGTGATTCCTCCACGAGAACTCCCGAGGCCCTACAAACGAGCTGAGACCACCTTTTTCTTCAGACATTCCGATTCGCGCAACAATATGGGCAAACCGTCAATATAAGAAGATGTGACTTCCTGCGACGACCTACAAGGACCTGATTAGGAGGTATTACATTGATCCACACTTATATGATTCACATCAAAAGCTCGAATGAGAACAAAGAATAATAACATAATATAATAATTACGAGATAATAAGGGGGTGCCAAACAAGAGAGTAGTTGAAAAAGGGGGAGGGCGATGTTCAAGGAGAAAGCAGCAGGCTGTGAAAAAGGTGAATAACTAAATAACCGAATTGCTGTCAGGGTTCTGGTGGCTACCCGAAGTGTTCGTGGGCCCTGAAATGAACACTGAGGGTTCCATCCTCCGTGGGCAAAAAATCAAGACGCCCTAACCTTCGAGGTCCAGAGCTACGAGTACAACAAGACCACATTTTCTGACAAAAGCATTGAAGTGAAAATGTCGTATGGCGAATTGCAGTCTTCTGGAGGTCTCGCATTTCTGGCCAAGGCAGTCTCAAAATCATCGAACTGGATCTCCTGTTGGTCGGACCTCTCGGTGGGGAGACTCAACTCAGTTATTAATTTCAGATCTTTCCGGTTGATGGTGGTCTACATACTCCCATTCACTGGCACCCTATCCCTGCGCATATTTGTGAATGACGAGAACGAAAACGCGCCTAAGTTGAACGCGATAGCTAATGCGACACGGAACTACAGGTTCGCTCGATTACTACAAAGCGCATTGGAAGGACGCTTCAGTCGCCTCTTCCTTGAAGTCCTGAATGAATTTATGTAGTTGCAACCAACCACCGTCAATCCTGTTCTGCAGACATCCTGTAGTGCTTATCAGCGTCCTGCCGTGGTGACTGTAGTTTCGGTTTGCGCAGTTGACAATGCGTACGGTGCCAATGGGCGGCTCAGCCTTAAGATCACAAAGGAGGAAACTTCCGTTCCACACGTCATTGCCCCCTAACCTCATGACCATCCTATTAGACGTTATTTGGAGACTGAACTAGACTTCTCGGGCACCAAGTGTCTACATTGCAAGTGATTTCGAAAAGACAGACATTCTTCAGTTAGACCAGAATGGAGGCAATCCGATAGCAAAAAGTAGCGACTACGGAGCAACCGCAACGGAAATCCAGCGCTGAACATTCGGGTGCACTTTAATTGGATGAGACAACAGCCACACTTAAGTTTCTACGGGTCCGGGGTGGTAGGAACTTCGGTGCAACTGTGCTGGCAAAATGT